TTAAAATTCTGACTTGCCTTTTTTTGGGACCATCCTAATGTGCATTTAGGGAAAATAGAAATTCGCGTTATTAAAAATAAAGACAAGTCTAATGTATATCTAATGTTCAACGTGTGCTCTTTATTCGATATTCAAAAACGGAAGTGAATGAAATACAAAAGGTTACAATAGTAATTTCATAGATATGAATGATAAAGTTACAGTACAAGGGAAAAATAACGCAGGGTAGCATTTGATTTGGTTCGTACTCTTCAACACCTCCCCTCGAACTATTTCGACTGTTACCGATCAAGAGTTTTTATTTTCCATTCCTAAGTCCATGATGCATTTGAAGTGTTTTTTTGCAGGTAGTCCCTTCGTTAGAACGTCAGCTGGCATGTCTTCAGTTCGCATATAATTCAAAACGATGTCTCCGTTCTGGTACTTCTCTCGTATAAAATGATGGCGTATGTCTATATGCTTTGTACGCGAATGAAAAGCGTTGCTTTGCACTAGCTTCTGTGCACTCTGGCTGTCGTTGTATATTACGACGGTTTCGCATTTCTTGCCAATCTCGTTTAGCATTTCGCGTAGATAAAGCGCCTCTCTTGTAGCCTCTCACAAAGCCATGTATTCGGATTCAGTGCTTGAAAGAGATACTGTTTTCTGTTTACGTGCCTCCCATGATATAGGAGCTCTGGCTAATATGAAGGCGTAACCGGAGTAAGATCGTCGGTCTATTATATTAGCACCCCAATCAGCATCGACGGCCGCATACAAATCTGCTTCTGTCTGCTTATAAAGAAGGCCATAATGCAGAGTAGCTTTCAAATACCTTAGTACTCGCTTGGCGGCTTTCCAATGTTCCATATTGTAATTTGAGTTGAACTGGCTTAAAAAATTAACTGAAAATGCCAAGTCAGGGCGTGTTGTCACTGCCAAGTATAACAAAGCGCCAATTAAACTTTGGTATGGATATTTATCCATTAAGGTCGCATCTCGTTTTGCTGGTTTTTCCAGTTTACAATTACACTCTAATGGCGTTTTGATAGGTTTGCAGTCTTCCATACGGAAACGTTTCAAAACTTCTATTGCGTATTCACGCTGGCTCAGAAATAAAAATTGTTTACTCAAATCTTGCCGGAACTCGATACCCAGGCATGTCTTAACTGAACCTATGTCCTTCATTTCAAATTTTTCAGCGAGATATTGTTTGACTTCTCGCAACCACATCTGATCGTTAGTAGCAATTAACAAATCATCAACATAAACCGTGATTAACATAAGCTTAAGTTTTCTTTTCATAATGAATAAACATGGATCACATTTTGAATCCTTGAACCCTATTTCACGGAGTGTTGTAGTTAGTTTTTGGTACTAATGATAACCTGATTGTCGTAACCCATATAAAGCTTTTCGAAGTTTACATACCGGATTCTCGTTTTTAATTATCGCCATTTTCCATTTTTGTGCTGTATCTTGGATTTCTCGAGCTTTATCGTCGTCTTCGTGCAATAGCTTTCCCAATACCACCTTTTGTAAGATTTCCTCGAGATATTCAGGTATTTCCATGTACACACTCTCTTCGAGTTTACCGTTTAGGTAAGCTGTAACTACGTCCATTTGATGTACTTGCAGACTTAACTCTGCTGCTAAGGCCGACAGCATTCTGATTGACGTTAACCGAGCTACTGGAGAGTAGGTGACATTAAAATCCTCCCCTGGACGTTGCGAGCACCCTTTTGCCAGTAGGCGCGCTTTTTTCGTGTTACCATCTTTTGTACGAAACACAAAACGATTACCAATAATTTTTCTTTCAGCGGGTCGCTCAACAATCTCCCACGTTTTATTCAAAATTTGTGCCATATATTCACTTTCAATAGCACGGGCCCATGACGCACTCTCATCGCCATTAATTGCTTCGCGAAATGTTTTTGGGTCACTGGCCATTCCTAGGTTTGCATATTCGCAGTTTTCGAAGTCAACACTCGTATCTCAGTCGCTAACTTCTTCAGTCGCATTATTCGATGGTTTTTGATAAATCTTTCTGGGCCGCCCACGTGCGCCTGTTTTAATCACTTTTGGCCTACCTCTAGCATGTTTTTCATTTGAAGACGTTGTGACACTCTCACATTCACTTGAATATTGTTCACAAATCTCTTCAGATTTTACGTCCCATTCGCCTTTTTGAGAATTTAAATCAATTTCTAAAATCCCTGGTTTTTCTTCTTCACGCTTGTAGAACATTTCATCTAGAAATCTAACGTCACGACTAACCAATATCTTTCTTTTCTCTGGCGACCACATGCGATATGCTTTGGCTTCATTTGAATAGCCAACGAGAAAACACTCTTCAGATCGCGAATCAAATTTGCCACACGACTTGTCTTTTATCAATACATACGCTTTCGCACCGAAAGGTCTCAAATGTATTACCGTGGGAGTCTTACCCCACCAAATTTTAAGTGGTACTGCATTTTTTAATATTTTAGTTGGACACCTATTTCTTATGTAATTGGCTGTGTTGAGAGCTTCTGCCCAAAACACAGCTGGTAAACCCGCTTGCTTCAACATACATCGTGACATCTCTAAAAGCGTTCTATTTTTGCGCTCTGCAATGCCATTCTGTTGTGGCGTGTATGGAGCAGTCAGCCGGCGCCTAATTCCGCAATCATTTAAATATTTTTGAAATTCGCTGCTCATATACTCCAACCCATTGTCTGTCTGAATTAGTTTTAGCTTCTTGCCAGTGAAGTTTTCGGCCGAGTTCTTAAAGTTCTTAAACATTTGTAGGGCTTCACTCTTCTGTTTCATGAAATGAACTTCACTATATCGTGAGTAATCGTCTGTAAAAGTGATAAAATATCTTGCACCTGAGTGTGAGCGAGTTCGCATTGGCCCACAAATATCACTATGGACGATCTCTAACAGGTCTGAAGTCCGCTGCTCGCTCTGCCTAGGGAAACTTTCCTGCGTTTGCTTTTCGCTAATGCAAATCTCACATGTCGGCAGCTTTTCGTTTCGATTGAGTTTCAATCCGTGTACCATGTTAACCGCACGCTTCAAATCCTTCTTGTTAAGATGCCCCATACGCTCGTGCCAGGTATGTATACCAATTTGTTTAGTTTCGGAAATATTTGCTGAAGGTTGAGCGTTTTTAATGTAGTATAAATCTCCAATTCGTGTAGCCGTAAGAATAGTTTTACCATTCTTCACAATGATTGCCTCATTTCGCCGAAAAATTACTTCATGGCCCTTATCCGCGATTTTTGACACAGACAGTAAATTAGTTCTTAGTTCTGCCACGTACATTACGCCTTCGAAATTAATTCTCTCTTCATGCCCCTTTTCGTTGACGATTGTCTTCACGTTCCCAACGCCTGTGATACTAGCTGTGTTGTTGTTCGCCAAACTGAGAGTTTTGTTGATCACCTTAAAGTTATCGAAACTTTCTCTATTCGAAGTCATGTGCGATGAACAGCCGCTGTCTAAACACCAATACTCAGTTGAATTTCTCAAGAAAAATGCAGATTCAGTCAGCATAGATTTTTCGACATTTTCTTCAGAACGTAGACGTGCATTTGATTGAGAATTTTTCATCTTTTGTTTTGCTCGACAGTTTCGCGAAATGTGGCCGATTTCGCTGCACTTATAGCAAGTACGTTTCTCTTGCTTTTCTTTCGCTGCATTTTGCTTGCTGTAGGAGTTGCCGATCTGGTTTTTATAGCTTTTAATCCTTGATTGAGCGATTAACACATTTTGCTCCGCATTTGACTCTTTCGCTTTTCTAGATTGTTCTTCTTCTGGTATTTTAACTCGAAGAACATCTGGCTTGGGTAACTCATCGCGAGTTTCCAAAGCACAACGGAAAGTTTCGAATGAATCAGGCAAACTGTACAATAGTAAAATTGTCAACAGATCGTCACCCACTGCTACATTAATTTCTTTCAGTTTGTTGACTGCGTTGAAGAATTGGTTGAGATGCTCACGGACGCTATCTCCTTCCTTCATACGTGCAAGTGCTACACGTTTAAGCAGGGTGGCTTTTCGCGCAGGCCCTTTTGATTGGAAAGTTGATTCTAATTTCTTCTGACGGAGATACTGAGAGCATTATATCGGCACAAGCTTTTTGGTCGAACTCCTTCCATTTGTTGGCATTTTCGTCACTTGGACAAGGCTTATCCCCTGACGCGTAGCTCCATAAGTCACCTTTTACCAGGATGGCACGCATGTGCAGCTTCCAGGTATCGTAGTTATCCGCGTTTAGCGGATCGATCCTGACAGATGTGGTGGCCATTATAAGTCAATCCGATGTAACTACCTCCAATGACCGTTCACGATATTTAGTTTTCGTTATCATATCTTTAAAAAATTAACTTGTGCAAAATATTTTCCGCGTTTAGATAGGGCTGGGCCCATAACCTAATGTTCAACGTGTGCTCTTTATTCGATATTCAAAAACGGAAGTGAATGAAATACAAAAGGTTACAATAGTAATTTCATAGATATGAATGATAAAGTAACAGTACAAGGGAAAAAGAACGCAGGGTAGCATTTGATTTGGTTCGTACTCTTCAACAATATCCATTAAAGATTTTATTTTTTTCGATTTTTTCGATTCCCGGGATTTTCGGGACTTAACAAAGGCGGGATCCCGCCATATATACTATAAGCAGAAATTTTTAATCTAAATTTTTTTGTTTCACTTTCTTTTTTACAGAACAACGAACATCGAAGGTGTCGTCACGATGAATGGACGCGAACGTAATTTGAGTATTTTCCGCAAATTATCCGCTTACATTATGCAGGATAATCAATTGCATGGCAATTTAACCGTTCAGGAGGCGATGACTGTAGCAACGAATTTGAAATTGAGCAAGAAATTCACAAAGGCGGAGAAGAACTCAATGGTAGGTGTCAAATGATTTTTTTTTTTGTAATTATCTCTCCCAAACGAAAGTAGGACCAATAGCGTAAAGCTAAGGGTCGAATAAACGAAAATTTTAAAGTGTTTTTTCTTTGCACTTAATACACTTTATTAGTAAATAAAAAACAGTCTATGCAGTATGTTTTTTAGAAACACATAAATAATTGCTTCTACAAAATAATCTGATAGCTTCTGTTTTGTTTTTTTTTTTATTTTATTTTTATTTACCGTAAGTTTATATCGATAAGCGAAAGACTAAAATTTTTAGTCAGAAATTTTCGTTTTCACATAATATTGCGTAAATACTAGCCAAAAATTTACCGACTAAAAGCTGATTGGTTATTGCATAGCTGCCGCCAGCGTTTTGCATATTAAACATTTCAATTCAACAAGTTTTTATTTAATGTACCCAACTTGTGTCTGCTGTCAATTATAAAGAAAAAATTCATAACACTCGTGCATACATAAAAGAACTGAACGGTTATAAAAAAGTTATTAAAATTTTTCTGCACTGCCTTTATCGCAATTCTGCCAGCAAATTAAAAAAACCTGTTTTGCAAAAAAAAAAATAATAATTATAATGTACATACATACATATGTACATATGGGC